CCGGATTTCAATATGCTTAGTTCGAGAGTGCTGTACTGGATTCTTGGAAATATTAATTGCACTCATATTGTCACAATAAATATGCAATAAATCTTGACTAATACCATAATCACATACCATTTGTTTCATCCATAAGAGTTTTTTGCTGTACCAGGACACGAGATTGTTCCCAAGATAGAAGCATCCTCCAGTTGTGCTTTTTCGATCATCTGCATCACCTGCCCAATCAGCATCGCTAAAGCCTCGGGTTTGAATTCCTTCTTCTACCGGACCAATGACTTGATCCACTGGATGATTCTTCTTGACTCTTCTTGAGGGTTCCTTGTGAGTTTGATCATCCAATTCGAGAGGCCTGACTTCAGCTTCGTCTCCTGTTTCAGAATTGACGTCACTTTCTTCTGAAATGGTAGAGGCTGCATCAACTGTTGGAACTGTTGGTGCGACACTGAAGCTGTTTTCCGATTCCTTTGTTGGTTCCTCTTCCAGTAGTCCAGCAGAGACAAGAATATAGCAGTTGTCAGATGATCGAGTTCCTTGAATAACACAATTCTCGTCTTTGTCTAATACTCGACATGTGAATTTGTTGAATCTGACTTCAAGATCTTGATCACATAACTGGCTGATGCTTATCAGATTTGACGTGAGTCCTTCTACAAATAGTACATTCTTCAGCTTTGGGAGATTCTCATGATTTAGCGATCCTTTCCCTAGCACTTCACCATTTTTTCCGTTTCCAAAGGTAACAGCTCCACCGGTGATTTGTTGATAGTTTTTCAGAAACTCTTTAACACCGGTCATATGTCGTGAACACCCACTGTCAAAATACCAATCATTAGTAGTACTTGCTTTTAAAGAAGTAATCGCAGATAAGCATTTAAACGTGGACTTTTCATCCCAAATTTTTTGCTGAGGTCTATTGGAAATATCGATTTTATTTTTGGGTTTTTGAGAGGGTGAAGGAAAATAATCAGCCCTAGCAGAGTAAAGAGAACGAGCCACAAGCTTTTTCACAAGTTTTAAATATTTGAAGCATCTAGGACGTATGTGACCTGGATTTTGACAGAAAAAACAAGTGGGAATAAACCTTTTCTTTGAATTGTGTTTCGTTGCTTCAACAGTTGCAACTGTTTGTGAGACAGAAGCTTGTTTAACAAAGTTGATTTTTCTGTTTTGATCTTCCTTTCGCTTTAGATCAACTTTGGGTAGCTGACTCCCTCCTATGCCTAGACGATTATAGTTTGGCTTGTTGTTGCTTAAGATTTCATCTAGATTACCTCTACCCAAGTTCAATTTTGCAATTGCTTCTTGAGTTTGAGTAAGTTTAGCCTGCAAACTATTTTTCTCTTGATCACTAGATATGATCCTTTTCTCAAGAGTAGAGATTCTTACCTTTAGTGTCTTGTTTTCCTCTATAAGCACAAACTTCTCCTTTTCCAGGAAGTTATTTACCTTAACGACGTCGAGCCATTTTTGGTACATTTTTTCATATACCTCCTTTACTTCATCCAAGGTTGGTTCTTCCTCATCACTGCTGCTGTTTAGATCCTCTGCAAAAGAAGAATTTTCGTTTAGATTTTTGTCATAATCAGAACACATATTTTCATACCTGGATTCTGTTTCACAGTCTGTTGCAACAGTTGAAGCAACAGTTGATTCTGAGTTGTCCAGAGGAACTTTGCTGCTGAATGCTACAAAGTTAGTGACTTGATCGTTGTTTCCTTGGTCATCATCAGATTCTTCTTCATCGCTCCAAACAGTAGTAAGTGATATTTTCTTCTTTTTCTTCAGGGTGTTTGCGCATTCTGATTGAATGTGACCAAAGCCTTCGCATTCTCGACATTGTATTCTTCTTGGTTTTGACTCCTCTGAGTTATCTTGATTTGAATTTCTCCTCGAATTTTGAAAGTTCACGGTTTTCCCTGTGCTTGGAAGATTTCCCCTTTTACCGATCTTTTTGAGAAATTTCCCAAAATTTTTTGATAGTATTGCCAAGGATTCCTCTACCGTCTGCTCATCTTCTTGAGTTGACGAATTTTGGGGTGTTGCATATGAAGTTTCTGCTTGAAAGGCTATCTTCTTTTCTCTAGGCTTTTCACGATGATTTTCACCATGATTGAGTTCTTGTGCCAGAAGTTTCCCCATGAGTTCGTCTAGTTTGAGCGTGTCAACATCTCTGACTTCTTCAATGGCAGCAATTCGGTAAGCAAATCTTTCAGGTAAAGAGCGCATCGCCTTTCTCACCAATTTGCTTTCAGAGTAAGGTTCACCGAGTGCATATGATTCATTGGAGATATCACATAATTTAGCATGGAAGTCAGTGATCGTCTCATTCTCTTCCATCTTCAAATTTTCGAACTTGGTGGCCAGCATTTGTAACTTCGACGTCCTCACAGTTGACGTTCCTTCGTATGTGACTTGAAGGATTTCCCAAGCTCTTTTAGCAGATTCACATGACGCTATTAGTTTAAATTGATTATCATCAACACCACTAAATATTGCGTTTAGGGCCCTTGAGTTGTAGTTTGCGAGTAGTATCTCTACGTCACTCCAATCTGCTTCTGGTTTGAAAGCTTCCATTTTGTCTTCTCCTTTGACCATGGGAGGTGTCCAACCAGTTATGATGGCGCGCCATGCTCTCTCATCTATGGATTTGATAAACATCTTCATTTTTGATTTCCAATATGAGTAGTTTGATCCGATTAGGAGAGGTGGGCGAGTAGTTGACGATCCTTCTCGTTGAGTATTCATATCTGCACAAAATAAGAGTAGTTAGTTCCCAAAATCTCACTAGATGTATTTAGTGACAGGCTCTTGATGCCAATTGTTAGAATTATTTCGTGCAAATTAATTATAAATTTGTGTCCGATAAATCCCAGATTCAGTTTTAGCTACTGTTCTACTGTTTTACGAAGAGTTGCAACAGTTAATGGAACAGTAATAAAAAGACACAAATTTTAAAGTGGTTCGGATACAATTGTACCCTACATCCACGGGGACCTGCAAATGAAATTCACTAATTTTTAGTTTTACGAATACAGTAATAGGACTTAATCGAAAATGCAAAGACTCCCTCTTTGTCGACGCCGTTCTTGTATCCTACGCTGAATTGTCAATCTTCACTTTGCAGCACGTCCCTTTCCGCACGGTTGAAATTTCTTCAACGCTGAGTCCCTCAGTCGGCGGATCGACCTCCTCCCGAGATCTTCTGAGTTCTTCTCCCGAAGAACCGATCTTCTTTTCGCGTGAAAGAAGCAAATCGTTTGCTGTGTTTTTCTTCTCGAATAAGATCACAACTCAGGTGCAGCAACGCAAGAGCAGAAAATGTTTTTCTCTCAAATAAAAGGGACAGTCTGTAATGACGTTGATGCTCCCTTCTTATAATTCCTTAGTTGTATTGGTAGAGCCCTACAAAATTAGAGCCCATTAGGTTAGATAAATTCTTCACGTAAGGAACAAGGAATTATGACAACAAGGAAAGTCTTAGTCAAATAAATTCCTTGTTAATAAAACACTAAGGTAATTAAATAAATTAATGACAAAATAAGAGTTTAAAGAACTAAGGAAACTTCCCTAGTTTTTATACACGTTTTTCGCACACGTGTTGAAAAACCGAAATAGAATCCTCTCGGATTCTAACAGTAATTTTAATTACCGATACCACAGAGACCTTAACGTTATTTTAGCATACATCAGGGGCGTAGGTGTAATTTACCCTAGACGATTATGACTGATTACGGCGAGAAACACGCTTTTATTATTTCATAATTCAAACTTTGATCACTGTTTCTCACGCCCCACAACTTACTTTCTCTCTCTAAAGAAGGAATTCCACGAAAATCAGAGTGACCCACGAGACGAAATGTCGTCGGCAGCTCCGCCACCCATCTCCGCCGTGCTCCGCCCATGGCCGCTGTTCCTAGACCTATCAGCCCTCAGCCTCCCAATCTCCGTCTCCGAATCAACCTACCGCCTCACCCAAAATCTCCGCTTCTTCCTCCCAAACTACGCCGTCATCACTCTCATAATCTTCGTCGTAACCCTCGTCACCCGCCCCCTCCCCTTAATCCTCTTCCTCTGCATCTCCGCCGCGTGGGTGTACCTGGTTTTATGGCGCGACGAACCACTTTCCGTCTTCGATTTCGAAATCGATCAGAAAATAATCGTCGGATTTCTCGCCGTATTGACCTTGGTCGCTCTCTTCTGGACCAAAACATGGTCCAAGCTCTTCGTTTCAGTGATCGTCGGAGCTGCGATCGTGCTCTTTCACGGCGTGTTGAGGGCGCCGGAAGATTCCTTGGAAGATTCGCCGTACGGGTCGTTGCTCAACGTTGTTGATAGTCCGAGGGGAGAATATGCTAGTGTCTGATGAACTAGGGTTTGTGATTTGGGGGAAAAGTTTTTTAGGTGTTGAATTTTTAGTCCTGAATTGCAATTGCTTTGTGTTTACTGTTTGCCATTTTTCTGATCACCAGTGCTTTGGATTAATGAGAATTGCCTTTTGGTTAACACATTCTTGATTTCATGTCTTTGTTTTCTTGTAAATTTTTTCATGAGTTTGATAAGCTTGCATAAATTTTTTTGAGTTGATATAATTTAGGGTAGGCTAAATTGCGCCAACATCCGAGGTAAGATCAAATTACGAAAAAAATCATTTTATTTAGATAATTATAACCATCTTCTTGCACGTCTACTCTTACGATGTCAAATTTAACAGAATCTGATTTCGTGGAATGTTCTTTAGTCTGTACTCGTTTTGCAAAAAGGCACTGGTGCACCGTAATTTAGTACTTACAAACCAAGAGACGCATCTTATGATCATCTTGTATCAAAATATGGAGCTCGAATTGGATCAAAACCGGTACAAATTGAAGAATTCTACATAATCTTAGTTGTAATTACTCAAATATGAAGAATTTTTTTTTTTGTAATTTGACCTTAAATCACGGGTGGCCGTAAGTTACCCTTTAGGATAATAGACAGAAAAAACAGAGACATGAACGAAATCATGAAATTCCAGTTAAAAAAAACAAACAAAAGTAACAATATTGAGCCATGTATATATATATCTACATATACAAACAAGTTAAGTTCTTGTTAATCAAGATTCAAGAATAGCATATTTTCTCTTGATCAATTCATAAAATTCAGTTCCATCTTCACCTTTCATTAGACGAAGGGCGACGATTAAATCAAGATCCAACGAGACCTTTGTGACGGGCGTAAGAAATTATAAGTACAAAAAGTACTGCACAGATAATCCCCGTGAGGACAACCACCTGAAGGAATTACAATAGAAAATTGAAGTTAATGAAAATTTCGTTTCGGAAAAAAAAAATACGATGATGATGATGAAATTGAAATTAAATAAACGCTGACCCATTTAAATACGTATCCGTGGTCATCGTTCCACGTATACGGAATGTTCATACCGAATATTCCAGCCACCAAAGAATAAACAGATAAACACACAGTTCCAGAGCTGAGCAAGAGCTCTAACTGAAGCCATAAAGGTAAAGAATTAATAATATCAATAGAGTTAATAATCGAGCTTTTTTTTTTTTTTTTTTTTTTTTTCACGAAATTCAGTCAATAAAAGATGATAGTGCATCGAACAAAACCTGAATCAGCTGATTTCGGTGATTGTCAAGCTGAAATTCACGGCGATAAAAAGAGTTTAAACCATGTAACGTTTGAACGAAAAAATATTATATATTTTCAATCGAACATTTTATTTTCTTGCTAACTTACGATACCTGGATATTGATATAATCTTCTGTGTATCAATGTATTCCCGCAGCTGCAAAATAAAAAAAAAGTTATCTATTAAATAAAAACGATATGCTGAAACTCAAATATTTTTTCGAAAAAATTATATTTTTACGTACCGGGGTCAATTTGTTTAGTGGGCCATCAATTTGCATAAAATATGCCTGCAGCAAAAACAACCAATTAAGTAAAATAAAAACATAATGTCAAAAAATAAAACTCGGATAAACGATCGATTAATTTTTTTTTACCTCGAGAAGCATTTCGAGTTCCTCAACATCATTTTCATCTCCACAAACAGTAGCTACCTTGCCCTACTAGCCCTCGATATTTTGGAGCCTATAGTAGGTGACATAAGGAACCAACTAGCAGCACCCGCTTCGCTCAAAGGAGACGCACCGGATAACTTTCTCGACAAGTAAAGATCCGCCATGTCATCATCATCGTCCAATAGCTGCTCTAGCTCATCTCTCACCTGCATGAATATTTTCTTTTGTGTGATAATAAAGAAGAAAAACGTACCTATACCTAAAATAATAAAGGGGTCAGATGGGAATTTTGACAGTCGATTAAAAACGGGATCTTTACCTTTTGTACGCGACCAGTCAACCTTGTCATTTGACTCTTTAGCTTACGCACTCGGTCTAAATTACGGCTACTAATCTGCAAGCGCAGATCATAACGAGGCAACGTAAAATACTTGAAATTCAGATTTTCAATGTGAGCAGTATAAAATACAATATGGCCGTTTTCGATATGGTATAAAACACCATATTCACTAGTAAAAAGACAAAACTAACCTTTGACGTAAGCATATCGAGAGCTGGATAAACAGCTGTCTCCAGTTCTATTGTGCGGGCATTCAGATAACTACAAATCGCTTCCAGTGCTACCTCGAGAGCTCGAAACTCAAATGGAGAGTCTGCAATTTCCATACAGATTATTAAGTATACACTATAACAAGATATCAATAAGAGAAATATATCGTTTCAGAAAAGAAAATACGAAAAGAAAATAAAAATGAAAAAAGGGAAAATACCATCTTCTTCTGCAGTTTCCATATCATTGTGAGCAGCCAAATTGCCGTATCTATTTTCTTCTCGACTCAGATTTTCTGGTTTTAGACGCCTTCGAAGGTCCTCCACTATAGGGACAACATTATCGTCCAACGGATCACGAAGCAATACCTAACATATATCAAAGTCAAAAATCGAAGACTCTGATTATATTTCAAGAATTATCAGATAATTTATCAATACTAAATGTCAAATTTCATCAGATAAAAAAATTCGACTTTTTATGATCCCACGAGCTTTAACGAACAAGAACGACAAAGGTAAGAATTGAAGTCAAACTAATTTTAACGAAGCAAAGTCAAACCAAAGAATGTGACTAAAGCATCACCCGAAGCCTAATGTATTTCAAGAATCACCATTTAATTGATCAATACTAAATCTTAATTTCCACACACACACACACACACACACACACACAAAACTACTCATTTTGTGAAATTCGACTTTTCGTGATCACGCAAGCTTGAACAACAAGAATGACAAAGGTAAGATTGAAGTCAAACTAATTTTGACAAGCAAACACTGAATTTTCTATTGAAGCAATCAATCCAAAATTGAAAATACACATTTATTCAGAATTTCTGGTAATTTACAAAATAAAAAATCGAAAAATGATATACAGAACAAAAAACATAGATATTAATTTATTTATTTTTTTCGTAAAAAACTGACCTCGTCTGCTGTAATGATAGCTTTGATATGCTGCAAATGCACACAGAAGAAAGAAGAAATGTTAGTACGTACAAATTAAACACCTTTCAAACAATATTGACTGATTTCAACCCCCAAAAAATAAAAATTAAAAATCAATTAATATTCTTAAAAAAAAAAAAAAAGCCCCAATTACTTGATTCTTCACAAAATTGAGAAGGTTTTAACCTCTAAATTGAGAACAATGGCTCTCTCGCGGCCGAGGATGGTGGAGGGGTAAGACAAGAGGGGGTCGAGGATGCGGAGATCGCGGGCGTGGATTTGCACGCGCTGCATGATCGCGTGTTTATCGACATCCATGAGGTTTTCCTGGCCGGAGGAGTCCATCAGAATCCAGCTTCTCGACCCGGCGCCCTTTTTCTTGAACCCGGCAACGGCGGTCGGAGTATCCACCGGCACCACGCAGCCGCCGTCTCGACCCGCCATTCTCAATTACCATTAGTGAGAGAAAAAAAAAAAATCAAACAGGAATTTCTAGGTTTTAATTTTTTTCCCCCTTTGTATACATACACATACAATCCTAGAGAGAGAGAGAGAGAGAGAGCATTTATAGAAAGATTACATAACTTCGTTCTTTTGTGTATGTAATCTTTCTCATAGGAGGAGGGGGATTCGTATTCGGTATTCCCCAGTAAAGAAAGTTTGAATTATTTACGAATTTGGGTTTACTTAAGAGGGTAAAATTTATTTTTCACCCCTGTACTATGCAAAATATATTATTTTTACCCCCTGAAGTATAGAAAACATCAAACACCACCCTGCCGTTAGCCTTTTTTCTAATTCCGTTAGTCTAATCCATTGACCGACTATTGAAAAGAAATGTTGCCTTTTTTTTTCACTTTTTTAGATTCATTTATTTATATTATTTTTAGTCATTTTTCTTACAAGAAAACTGAAAAATCAAATAAACAAGAACGAAGCTTCGCAGATTTTCCATTAGACTTTCTAACAATGTTTCAGGGCTGGTTGCTAATTATCGATACTATAGGGACCTTAAAGTTATTTTAGCATACTTTAGAAGTGTTTGCGTAATTTACCCTAAATGTAATGCTGACATATCTCCTAAAAAGATAGCTTCAAATTAACGCAAGATGTATTGTTGAGTATTGAAATGCAAAAAAGTATAGACAAACATGCATTCTGCTAGACTCGATTCGTTTCTACGTTACGATTCGTTTCTACGTTATACCCCTACCCTAATTTACTCTATTATTATAGAAGTGATTTATTTTATTAGTTTATATTTAATTTCATTATTATATGTAATGGCAAAAATTGAACACTTGTTCATTCACTATACACTCCAAATATACTGTTACAAGTTACAACAAAAAAATTATTCACCCTTACATTAATCAAACCATGTCCTCTGTACAAGAACAGATTTAACCCTGCACAGCCAAAGTCTGCAAATGCTCAATAAAATCTTGCAAGCTGACATCATCAGTGAATATAATCTCGGAACCTTCCGCGTAAGTCGAATTCTGAGTCACAGACGGATTCAATTTCGCAAGAAGAAACCTCGCCTGGCTACTATGCTGATCGCACTTCACGAATTTCGGAACCGGGACCCGCTCAGATACCAATTGCTCAGCATCGAGCTCGGAAGCTTCCAGAAGGTTCTTGAAACTTCCATAACTAGGGTCCCTATCGTACCCCAGCTTCCTCCACTGTGCAATCTTCGAACCATAGTGAATCACAACGTAAAAGAAAGAATCGAAAAGCAGAATCACGTCTGGAGAAATCGAGCGCACATCTAGCACTACAGGAATGGGGGGCCCGTCGAACGAGTATTGAAACAGTGTGGGCTGGACCATGATAAGGGAATTTATGACCCCCTCACGATTCAGCATTAAACGAAAGTAAGCAGTTTCGTCGGGGCTACTATTGAAGACATCCATGAATTGTGACCTCCTCAGGTAATACATAAACTGAGGGTACAACGAAAAGTTTGTCTTTAAACGGAAAGTCGATGGATCTTCTTGCACGTAATCCCCGAATTTAGAAGCGAAGCTTATCAGAGACTTATCCAGCCATCTGATAACATCATCGGCGAGACTCTTTTCCATCTTGTGGATCGAAAGCTTCGCCATAACCGCCGCAGCCGCTTCTTGATCGAACCCTGAGAGAATCTCCGGCGAGTTTTTCCCCACCCATCTTCTCGCAACTGTGGTCACCCTCTTCCTTAATCCCATGTTGCTGTCTCTGTACCGTGTAATGAACTGTATAAAGAATGCTGAGCTGTCGTGTGTTTTCGGGTCTTTCGCAGCTTCGAAGAAGAAGGCGATGCATGTTTTGGTGCTGACTGTGCAGAGCTTCCATACGTGGGTCCCACCTTCTCCAATTGCTTTGTCGCTCACAAAATCGTTCTTCTTGTGTAGAGAGAAGCAAGGACCGAGGGCCCCACATACTTTTAAGTCATGGGTTGTTACTACCTCTATAGTTGCATCGAAAAACATTTTTAAATTCCCATCTTTGTCACATTCGAACATGTGGCTCAAGCACTTTTTGAACTGCTCGGATTCGAAAGATTCCCCTAACATCATGAAACCTCCGGAACTTTCTACGGGATTTTTTAACTCGGCTGCTCCAACCTGATCCAGAGAGCAGGCGAACAGATCAAGAACGATGGATGATTCGGATATTCGTTGAGAAATTCGCCTGTAAAATTCGCTGGATTTTTTGTAGTACGAGGTGTGACCGTTATTGAGGTCTCGATGAGTTCTTATGGAGTTGTCAAGATCCGAGTTGACAATCATGCCCGGGCCCACAGTTGCGGGTCCCGACGTGAAGACCATTACACGAGAGCCAGTGTTTACGGAGCATCCTTCTAGAAGACCTACGGCCACTGATATCGCAACACCTGTACAGCGTAGAGGGCGGTGTCCTGGATTTACAGAAGGTGAAGAGTGGATGTCTTCGATGGCCGTAATGATGTTGAACTCACATTCCGACACTGGCAATAGGAAGCCTTGGTTTTGTAGAGCTGATGACTTTCCGAGAGTTTGCTTTGTAGGGTGGAGCCCCAGAAGCTGTTTGACCTGACGATGAAAATAGATACATAACATTGCAGGAAATGCAACAAGAGCAAGTGAAAAGATGTCGACTTTATTAAAATTTAAATAAAAGCTCTCTGGTTAATTCTAATACCAAGTGAAAAGACACACCACTGCATGTGGCCCAGTCAGATTAAAATAAATTAACAGTACTACATCATCACGAAACACGTGACGATCACTTAGAATCTCCTCATCGCATTACAAGAACCGTATATGCAATAGTAATTATGAAACCTTCAAATGCGGGAGAAATAGTTGGAAATGCAAAGTTACTATCATTTACTCCTAGCATAACACATTGCTTATTGGTACGTCATGCACTTGAAATCTTCAGAGGCGATGAGGACCATATTGTTAAAGACAAAGAGTTCATTGGTCTTAAGTTAGGCAAACACAGACCACAGCTATATATGACTACAGAAAGGGCGTACCTTTATATGCAACCATTTACGTCTAAATACATAGTTAATAAAATGCTCTGCGCAGCAGCCTAGCTTCCAATTTTATCCTAGATAAGCATGCAATACTTCAATTAATATCCAAGTACAAAATAGGTGCACCATCACCAGATCCACAAAATTGCCGAGAAAGCATGAATTGGCACAACGGAAACAATATCCCTTTTCATTGCACAATTCAGAATGTGCAAAGGTTGAATTGAGTGTTTTTCTCCATTAATCAACATTACAAATGGAGGCTTACAAAACAGAAAATGTACAATGTAATCGTTAGTAAGCTCTGCACAGCAGTGTATAACGGATATCTGACAGCCTAAGGGAACAATGCATTTGATTCATTAACTTCCACAGAGATGCAAAAATAAATAAATAGCAGCATCCTTACATAGCTACTGAAGAAAGATGGTGTTTTTCAATCAGAAATTGTTACTATGAATCAGGGATAAATTACATATAACCATACGAACAGTCTTTAACTTCGAATTGTTAAACATATTGTACCTGCTCAGATGAAACCTCACGCTCTCCGTGAAACAGCACAACCCTCAAACACTCTGTGAATCCCAAATCATACACCTTCACCATTGCGTCAAACACCACCAAACCAACCAAAGCATTTTCCGGCAATCGCGCAACCGTCCGTAGCAGCTCCTTCTTCAGCACCCCAAGCTCCTCCTCCGACGTGCAAGCATCCACAACGAACACAAATGCCGGTCCGATTCCAACTCCAAACGCAGCCCAATCCAGACCTAACCCCGAGCCAGAATAGCCAGACACACTCGAGAAAGAACTACTGTTCGACCTCAACCCCAACGGCCCACTCGCGCTCCTCCTGGGGCCCGATTCTAAACCCGGCCCGGGACTCGAATGGTATTCAACGGTGCTGTAAGTGGGGAAAAGCTCCGCCGGGATACTGTTCTCGTTGATGTGAGCGTACGATTTCGGAAAGGGATTCTTCCGGGGGCAGAAGGCGCAGATCCATATTTTGGATGCGTAATCGACGCGGGAGTAAGGGTTCAACACGGCGGCGCAATTGGAGCAATTGAGGGGTTCGTAGGGGAGGATGGGAAGCTCGGTGAACGGCGTTAATGGAGTGCAGAGAATTGACAGTGGGACAACCAGAGATGAAACCTCGGCCTTGGAAACCGGCCATGAGTGCCACGACCAACGCAAACCCTCGATCGCTTCCAATTCGGAGAAATCCATTGACGAGGAGATCAGGTCGATTTCATCAGGATTCAGTGAAATTCGGCGAACCCTGAATCACGATCGGGATTAGGGTTTTGCGGATTTTGAAGATGTCAGGATTCAAGTATATATTTGTATGTTGTATTTAATAATGTATTTAATTGTTCTGTAATATAAAGAATGTGGGATAGAATTAGAAAGACTTGAGAAGGAAGAAAGCAGAAGAGGAAAGAATTGAGAAAACTTTTCATAAGCAACGTTCATCACCCTACTACGGTATAAATACCCCTTCCAAACATAAGGGAATATTTTACCCTAGCCCATTAATAGTGTCATCAGCAACATATCAAAATAAAATAAACAAAGTGACTACTGGGTTTAAAAAAACAAACATAGCCCAATAGAATTAACAAACAGGTAAATGGGCTGCTAGAATCGGCCCACAGCCAAAAAGCCCGTTCCCAAAGCATCCTTCGAAACGGCATCGTTTCGATCCTCAATCAGGTCTTCACTCCCCGATTGCACCAAGACTCCTCCTTTAGCACTTCTAGGGTTCCTCTTCTTCTTCAGCCCCCAATTCATGTCAATCCCATTCATCTTCTTCTCATTCACTCCAATCCTTGTCCCCCTTTGCTTCTTTGCACCCCAGGATATAACATTACCCCCCCCTTGAAACGATTCTTGCCCCCAAGAATCCGAAATAGGTTCTGTGTCCGTGGGTTCCAGAATGTCAACCAGAGCAGCAGGTGGAACTTTTGTAACCGATGCAGTGGGCTTCACTGTGCGCTTCAGCAGGGACACATGGAAAACGTTGTGAATCTTCGCACCATCAGGTAATAATAATTTATACGCTACCTTCCCAATTTTGGCAATAATAGGGTAGGGACCGTAGTACTTGTTTGCCAATTTCTGATTTGCTCGCGAAACAACAGAATTCTGTCTGAATGGTTGTAGCTTAAGGTAGACTTCTTCTCCAATCTCAAAAGATCTTTCAATTCTGTGTTTGTCTGCGTACCATTTCATTCTGGCCTGAGCCTGAATGAGATTCTGTTTAATTAACCCCCATGCTTCAATCCTTTGTTGCACCATAGCTGAAACCTCAGGGTTGATACTGTCTAAATAGGGACTTAGAGATAGGTGGTTAGGTGAATACCCATACAGTGCTTGGAAAGGTGACATCTTGAGACTGGTATGGTAGTTGGTATTGTACCAGTACTCAGCCAAAGAGATCCACTTCATCCATCTGTGAGGGTGCTGGCTAGTACAGCACCTGAGATAATTCTCCAAGCACTGGTTTAACCTCTCTGTCTGTCCATCACTCTGAGGGTGGTAAGCTGAGCTCATAGTCAGTTGAGTACCTAGCAGTTTGAATAACTCCACCCAAAAATTGCTGGTAAAAACTTTGTCCCTGTCTGAAACTAAGCTCACTGGCTGACCATGTAATTTAAAAATGTTATCTAAGAACAATTTAGCCACAGTAGCTGCACAAAAAGGATGAGATAATGGCAAGAAATGTGCATACTTGGTAAATCTGTCAATAACCACTAAAATAACATTTTTACCCTCAGACTTAGGTAGACCTTCAATAAAGTCCATAGAAATATGAGTCCAAGCACCTGTAGGAATCTCAAGAGGTTCCAAAAGACCTGGGTAGGGGCTGTTCTCATGTTTAGCTCTGTGACAAACATCACAGCTTTGTACCCATTCTATAACTTTTGCCTTCATTCCAGGCCAATAAAAAGTACCCTTCAACCTCTGATAAGTTCCCAACATACCAGAATGCCCTCCAATGGCTGAGTTATGGAAAAATTCCAATAACTTAGCCCTAAGGTTGGTGTGTGTGCCAACATAGATCTTCCCCTTGAACCTTAATACACCTTGTACCAATCCATAATCACCATAAGTTGTTGCATCAATGGCCTTAGCTGCCACAATCTTACTAACCTCATTGTCTCCCTTATAACTCTCCAAAACCTCCAATAACCATTTTGGCTGCACTGTAGACATGGCCCCAACACTGGCTGAGTTATGTTCTTGTCTGGACAGTGCATCAGCCACCTTGTTCTCCACCCCTTTCTTGTATTGGATCTCATAATCCAGTCCAATAAGTTTAGCAATCCATCTCTGTTGTAGGGCAGTAGTGAATTTCTGCTCTACAATGTACTTAATGCTCTGCTGGTCTGTTCTGAGAATGAAGTGATGGCCCTGTAAATAATGCTTCCACTTCTGAATAGCAAGCAATACAGCCATAAACTCCCTTTCATAAATAGATAGGGCCTGATGTGTGGCATTCAAAGCTTTACTCAAGAATGCAATAGGCCTACTGTCCTGCATCAATACTGCTCCCAAACCAGTGGAACTGGCATCAGTTTCCACTATAAATGGTTTGGTGAAGTCTGGTAGGGCAAGTACTGGGGAAGAGGCCATAACCTCTTTGAGTTGTGCAAAGGCTAACTCTGACTCTGGAGTCCATTTAAATTTCCCTTTCTTCAACATATCTGTAAGGGGTTTGCTCACAATCCCATACCCTTTAATGAACTTTCTGTAATACCCTGTTAAGCCTAAGAAACCCCTGAGTCCTTTGACAGTAGTTGGTATAGGCCAATTCAGCATACTTTGAACCTTATTAGGGTCAGTGGACACTCCCTGTGCACTGATAATATGACCCAAATATTCTATGCTGGTCTGCCCAAATTGGCACTTGGACTGCTTGGCATAGAGCTGATGATCCCTTAGGATTGTCAGTGTGGTGTCTAGATGTTCCATATGTTCTTCCAAACTGGAGCTATACACCAGTATATCATCAAAGAATACTAACAAAAATTTCCTCAAATATCTTGCAAACACCTGATTCATGAGGGATTGAAATGTGGCAGGAGCATTGCACAGCCCAAATGGCATCACCAGAAATTCAAAATGGCCATGGTGGGTTTTGAAGGCTGTTTTGTACACATCTTCATCCTTCATCCTAATTTGAAAATAACCAGACCTCAGATCTATCTTTGAAAACCACTTTGCCCCATACAATTCATCTAGAAGTTCATCAATAATTGGTATAGGGTAATCATGCTTGACTGTCATGGTGTTCACATATCTATAATCCACACACATTCTCCATGAACTGTCTTTCTTCTTTACCAGTAAGACAGGAGATGCAAAAGGGCTTTGGCTCTGTCTAATAACCCCTCCTTTTAACAGCTCATCAACAATCCTTTCAATTTCATCCTTGGCAGAATGTGAATATCTGTAGGGGTATAGTTGTTTGGGTAGGGCATCAGGCTTGAGAATGATTTGGTGCTCAACTCCCCTCACTGGTGGTAACCCTTGTGGTTCCTCAAATAACTCCCCATACTGCTCCAGCAGCCTTTGAATCTGTTTTGGCACAATCACAGTTTCACTGTTGGTTTGTATTGTGCAAAATTGACCACTCTCCTCAATGGTGCTAATTTCTTCCTTGCCCACATCAGGATGAACAGTCAACAATTTACCTTCCCCACAATCTTCCTTAGCAGTAATCACCACTTTCTGATCCCCTCTTTTGAGCTTGACAAATCTCCTTTTGTAATCAAACTTCACAGGACTGTTCTCCCATAACCAATCACAGCCCAGAACAATGTGAAACCCCTTGAGAGTTAACAGCCTCAAAGGGAAAGTGAATGGCTCACCTTGCATCATCCAAATCAGGCCATTGACAATCTTTTTGCTAACAGTCTTGGTTCCATTTGCCATGGTGACTGTCATAGGGTTAGTTTCATCAATATGGCAGTTGAGTTGAATAGCCAAGGCCTCACTGATGAAACTGTGGGTGCTGCCTGTGTCAATAAGAATGTTCAAAGGCCCCCCCTCTACTTCACCAACCACTTTGATGGTTTTCACCCCACTGTTCCCTTCAATGGCATTCAAAGAAACCTCCCCATCACAGTTACTTTCTTCATTTCCTAAACTCTCCTCACCAGCCATTGTAAGCAGATGTGTCTCTTCCTCTTCATCAGTCATAATCATGTATAACTGATTGAATTTGCATTTGTGATTCTGGTTGTACTGCTCATCACAGTTAAAACATAACCCCTTCATTCTTCTGGCCTTCATTTCCTCCCTGGTGAGTAATTTTCTTGGTGGCATTAGGGCTGGTGGACTATAATGAGTCTTAGTCAAGTGGTTCTGATTTGACTCAAAGTTTGGCTGGAGTCTCCTCTGTTGGTTTTGGTATGGCATTGTCTGTTTCATTCCCCCTTTTGCTCTTTTTGAAACAGCTTCTAGAGTAGCCTCCTGTTTTCTAGTCATTTCAATAGCATGCTGGAATGATTTAGGTTCAAACAGGTCAAAGAACTTCTGATTCTCCTCAGGCAATCCACTGACAAAAAAGGTCAGAAAAAACTCATCATCATATGCTCTGGTGTTAAACATTAACAAATAAGCCCTCAGCTCCTCAAACTTGTCAATGTAGGCCTCTAAAGAGTTTGTGACTTTCAATCTGCCCATCTCAGCCAGTACTTTAGCCTCTCTTAAATCTTCAAACCTAGCAGAAACTAAACCAACAAATTGATCCCAAGTATAAACCCTATTGTTCTGTGAGATATGCCCATACCAAATGGCTGCCCTGCCTTCAAAGTGTAAAGCAGCTAACACTACTTTTTGAGTATCAGGTATGTTAGATACCAGTTGGAAATAACCTTGGCACTTAAATAACCAAGTCCTAGGGTTGCTACCATCAAATCTGGGGAATTCAATTTTAGGGTTAGGGTTGTAATTGCCAGAAAAAGGGTTTACCATTACATCTTGACCTCTAATGTTTCTGTGTTCTTGAGGTCTGTTGAAATGCTCTGGTTGTGCAGTAAATGGTGTTGGAATTGTGCCTGAAGTAGATCCTTCCCCCATGATAGATTTATCTCTGTTGTACATTTCTATTCTCTCAGCTATCTTTCCTAGCTGAATTTGCATGATTTCAAAAGATTTCTTTGTTTCTTCATGGTTTAAACTGATCTGTTCTTGCAGGTTTGTCTCAACAGCCACTCTCTTGTCCATCTCTTCCTGCAGCTTCTGTTCCAGCAACTTCCGGTGTGTTTCCAGTCTGGTGCCGTCCGCCATTAAATCGAACCTTGCTCTGAGTACCACTTGTAGGACCTCAGGCGCTACCAGTTGTCCCAAAACCAATTGGTGTTAGGAAAGGCGCAAACCCTAGCCTTATAGTGCATTCAACACACACAAGCGCCCACGGCATTCGATTGTGGGCCGCCCATACCCGGGCCTCCACCACGTGGACAATTGCTGCCAAACCCAGGCTAACAATCTCCCCCTCAGCAATTGCTCCAGCTGGGAATCGAACCCGTGACCTTGGCTCTGATACCAAATGTCAGGATTCAAGTATATATTTGTATGTTGTATTTAATAATGTATTTAATTGTTCTGTAATATAAAGAATGTGGGATAGAATTAGAAAGACTTGAGAAGGAAGAAAGCAGAAGAGGAAAGAATTGAGAAAACTTTTCATAAGCAACGTTCATCACCCTACTACGGTATAAATACCCCTTCCAAACATAAGGGAATATTTTACCCTAGCCCATTAATAGTGTCATCAGCAACATATCAAAATAAAATAAACAAAGTGACTACTGGGTTTAAAAAAACAAACATAGCCCAATAGAATTAACAAACAGGTAAATGGGCTGCTAGAATCGGCCCACAGCCAAAAAGCCCGTTCCCAAAGCATCCTTCGAAACGGCATCGTTTCGATCCTCAATCAGGTCTTCACTCCCCGATTGCACCAAGACTCCTCCTTTAGCACTTCTAGGGTTCCTCTTCTTCTTCAGCCCCCAATTCATGTCAATCCCATTCATCTTCTTCTCATTCACTCCAATCCTTGTCCCCCTTTGCTTCTTTGCACCCCAGGATATAACAAAGATCTCATTGGTAATTTGGGAAATTTTCAGGGGGTTTAATTTAGGAGGTTTTTCATTTTTTGAATTTTTGTTTTACTTTGTCCGGCAAAGATGAAAAAAGCTGAAAATGGAGAATAAAGCAGAATTCCGTTGGTGAAGAAAACTCGGAATAATGAGCACGTGCTGCGTCACGTGATTTAAAATTTTGTTATTTGTTTTTTGGTTCTTTGATTTGAGAAATTGATAATAAGGATATACTAACGAGTAACCATGTTAGCTATGAATCTTCTCACACGTTCACATTTTATTATGTTAAACTCAACAGAACCTTCTAGATTGCGTGAAATGTTTTCTAGGTTGCATTCGTTTTGTGCAAAAACACAATTTGTGAAACACCACAATCTGATATTTACAGTCAAATGACACATCATACGATCATCTTGTTACAAGAGTGGAGCTCCAATGGATAAAAAGTGCACAAACTGGAGATTATTTCACATAATCAAGAAAATTCCACTAAATTTAACTCTGCAAGAATGAACGTGTAAGAAGATTCATAATTGAGGAGTGATTCTAATTATCCAAAATATGAGTGGTATTTTCATAGTTTGACACGTGGCCGCATTTATTGAATAAGAAAAAGATAAAAACATCTTCCAAATTCGAAGTAGGGGTGGGTTTTGAATAAAAGATAGTTATTGGGCCAAAAGCCAAATCAACATATTTGTACTAATGGCCATTTTGTGGGCTTATATAAAATGGGCCGGATATTTTGGATCCGAAATTTGATAATGGATCTCTATGTTTTTATGTTAAAACTAAATTAAATATATGACGTCGATCATAAACAAAAAAAAAACAGCTATGCTCAAATAAATAAAAGAAAACAAATTTCTCAAAGACAAAAAAATTAGTTTATTGCTTTCAGCATAATTTCTAAAAGCAATATGAATGTAGAGAAAAGAAAATCCCAAACTATAAGTTGCAAATGAAAATATTCTTTTCATGAATGATTTGATCTCAGGCGAAAAGGATATAAATCAAAATAATTATTACCAAAGACTGAGAGTGTAAAACACATTTGTTTTTAAGGAGTATAATCATTTTGTCGAGCTCGAGATCATCGAGTATTTTTATTTCGGCTCAAGCCCAAACTCATTTTGGTTCTTTTCTTTATTTTTTATTTTATTATTAAATAAAAAAAAATTACAAGAAAAAAAAGAAGAATTGTAATTCTATTTTTTAAAATTTTTGTATGTTCTTTTTATAGCATTATTATAATATTTTATATTGTTATATATATATATATATATGGGTAAATTACAAACACCCCCCTGAGGTATGGTCCAATTACAAAAAACCCCCTCTTGTTTGCATAATTACATCTACCCCCCTCAACTATGAGTTTTTCTTACACCTCCACCCTTATGGTGCCAAATTCCACATAATCATCTAGATTCCGTGAAATGTGCTCTAGTTTGTACTCGTTTTGTGTAAAGATACAGCTTCCTATGCACCAACAACTGATATATACAAGCTAAAAATCACATATTATGGTCATCTTGCTTCATAATGTAGCGTTTGAATGAGATAAAACGGGTACAAAAGTGATAATATTCCATATAATCTGGAAGATTTCACTAAATTTGAGGAGTTGAGGGGGTGGTTGTAATTATCCAAACAAGAGGGGTGTTTTTGTAATTTGACCATACCTCAGGGGGGTGTTTGTAATTTACCCTATATATATATAGGCTCACTAGCTCACGAATAACGAATAACTATGGAAAGGCTCGAGGTAGAGAGCTCACAAGCTCGAACTCGAAAAACTCGATTTCGAGTTCGAGCTTTTTTCGAGCCAGCTCATCGAGCTCACGAGAAGGCTCGAGCTCGACTCCTGAGAGAGCTCGCGAGCTCGAACTCGAAAAAACTTGTCTTCAAATTCGAGTTTTTTTTGAGCCAGCTCATCAAACGCACGAGTCGCCTCTGCTCATTTACACCCTACTCATAATAGTTTTTATGCATGATATGACATGCATTAATTATTTCATTGACCACAAAAATTCATATATATTACTTAAATGACAATTTCTAAATCCATTGACCAGAAATTCATGCTCATTTCAAATGATATTGACCTAAGTAATTATTATACATTTGCAATAAAACCAAGTATGTAATTATTGACCTATTTATTTAATATAAAAATTGCAAAAAATGCAACATGGAACAGTACATGTGCTCCCAACCACCATCACTATGCATTATATAATTAATTTTGCAATAACATTCAAAATTGACTAGCATTTACCATATATTCAAATAATTGAAGATAAAATATTAATTTAAAAAAACCCCACAACAAATTTAAAATTTAAAAAAATTGAAAAGATAATATATATAAATGTATGTGAAATAATTAAATAATTAGTTATGAAAGGAATAGTCCCATGAACATGCACATGGCCTTGTTCCCTTGTGGCCTCTAGTTGGGGGACTATAATATTCAATAAACAGTAATTTTTGCAATAAATAAATAATTAATTAATTAATTAAATAAATAACAAGATATGGAGAATCTGGTAAATAAATAAAATATAAAAATAAATAATTATGCAAGAAAACATGAACACTAGTGTGACAGCAATGATAATAATTGATAATTGGGGATGATTAATTGTATTATTAAGGAAGAGAAATAATTAAATAAAAAGTCATTATAATAATAAAAATATTATAACAAACAAGCCAGAACAACAGATGAGTGCATTTTGCTTCTTGTCCAATCACAAATTTCCATATCTATATATACTATATATATAATAATTAATAACAAATACAGACACAGTCACAAAAACCCAGAAATAATTTATAATAATTTAAAAAAAAAAAAAATTAAAAAAAGAAAAACAAATACTGGGCACATAGAAAACAGCTTCAATATTTCTGGATCATTACATAATTTCATCATCAGCACCTGCTCTTGCATTTCTCCATAGCTCTTGGCGCTGAATTTCACACCAAAAAATAATAAAAAATAAAATAATATTATTTATTTTGAAACTATAAAATATAAATTAATATTTCAAGATTTTTTAAATTAAATAATCATACGTACGCCATAATTTTTTTTTATAAATAAAACCCATCATATATACATGAATATTTGATAGTATAATAGTTCATCCGAGAGATTTTTATTTAAAGACTCACATCTAATTATTATAAGTATTTACGAATAAATAATTTAGTTTCTTATCTTTTTAAGAATCACAACTAACAAATAATAGAAGATCGAAATATATAATAACCGATTTAGGGTGATATAAGAAAAAAAAAAAAAACAATATTATGATCCAAAAATGAATGTAATAATATTTGCCCTAAAACAAATTAACACAAGGCTTCGTTTTGTTTAATGAATATATATAATATATACATACACACATATATATAATTTATATATTATAAATACATACCAAGTCCAATAGCTTCAGATCCTTTCATAATACGAAGACGCTTGCATGAATTCACAAACATCCTGCACCACAACAAAATATAATATACATTATTCATCAAATTTAATTCCAATCTAATTTAAACATTATTTTTATATTGAAAAAAAAAATTATTTATGCAAATATATAAATAATGATTCATAAAAATTCATAATTATTTTTTATAATAAACTGCAGAAACTATAAAATATTTTTGCCATACTGAAGAACACACACAGAGACACAAAAACACACAGTACACACACATATACATACATACATATAGATACAGATATAGATATATAGATACATATAAACTTACTCCCATGGAACATCCCCCACGAGCATCCAGTCACCATCCTTATCTTCATAAGTCGGCACATATTCCGTACTGTTCAACACATCCATCAATTTCCTTTCGTTCATGAAATCTATCATTCCTTCGCTCCCATATTTACCTATTTTTTTTTTATTATTATTTAATTAATTAATTAATCAACCGATTAAACATAATTAGTTATTAATATTTACTAATTAAACATATGTTTTTACCCATGGTGAAAGAGCTGAACATTTTGGCCAAGGCGTCGGAGAATTCCTGGTAGCTCTTGTACATTTTCAGGTCCACTTTACGGAGGTACGGCGCTCCGTCCATCGACACCTTCACGAAGGCGGCGGCAGCGCCGCCGCCTCCCGCCTCCTCGTCGCTGCTGCTGTTTTTCTGATGAGACATGACTATGTTCTTCCTGAACGACCGCACCGGCGGCCACCCCACCACTTGTGCCCTACATTCACATACATACATATATACATACAACGTTAATATACGCTAGCCGAAAAGCCCCGGTTTGACTAAATTGCACAGGGGTTTTTGCTAGTTTATTTATCCGTGGCGGTTTTTGCTATTTCAAGATTAGACATGGGTACTTTTTGCAGTTTACTCTTTTATAGTAATTAAAAAAAAAGGCACATAAAATTAATTATATTGAAAATCAATTACTTGGCTGGTGGTTTGACCGGATCTTTGGGAGGAACCATATTCGCCGCCGTCTTCTCGGCTGAGTTGTTGTTTTTCATGGCGCCGCCGCCGCCGCCGTTGTTCAGATCTGTTGAAGCTGAGTCGTTGGATTGAAGGTTCAGTTTCAGATCAACCGTCTCGGAAAACCCTCTCTTCCCGTTAATCTTGACGGCGTCAGGTTCTCCGCCGCCGCCGCCGCCGGGAAGGCCGAGGCAAAGCTCAGTTTCCTTGAAATTCAGGCCGCGCTCCTCCGCCACCATCTTCCGGCAAACTTCCATCAGCCACTTTCTTCTTCTGGTAATTGATTATGGTACGTGTGTTTGTGCGTGTTTTTGTGTGTGTGTGTGTATATATATATATATATATATATGAAAGGCGGGGGGAGCAAAGTGTATGGCATTGATGTACATATATACCAATGGCAGCTGCATTAATCTATATCAAGTTCCAAGGAATCACGTACTGACACGTGGAAAATCAAATAATAATAATAATGTTCTTCTAGGATCAAGAGCATGTTACTAATATAATTAAAGTTTTAATTTTTTTCTTTTCTTTACCCAATAAAAATATTATTTATTTATTAATAAAAAAAGTGGGGGTCCTGACCAAAGTTTTTTTTTTTTTTTTTTTTTTTAGGTGATCAAGTGAAATGTATAACATTATGATGGGTTAATAATTTATTATTTTTATTTATTTATTTAATAATTAATGTGTTCAAGTGGATGTGTTTTGTTTAATATTATAATTAATTAAAGAATGAAATTAAAAATAAATGGTCATGGCATGATGATTAAGGGAAAGCAATTAATGGATGTGGTCCATAAAAGAACCATATGATTAATCTTCTCCTCCACTTAATGGCCAAACTAATTAATTATTATAATTAATTGCATAGTTTGAATGTTCCACAGTTTAACTAATTCAAAATTAATTGAAATTAAATGATATACATATACAGTGAAATCTCGATAAATTAATAGTCTCCTTTAAATAATAGTTTTTCTCGGTCCCGACTCGGTGAAAACGTGTTAAACTATTAACTCGATAATTTAATAATAATTTGTTAAATTAATAGAATTTCTCGTGTCCTGACTGTATTAATTTATACAGATTTAACTGTATACTCCTTCAATATAATTAATGTCATTAATTTGTCTTTTGAACCAACAAAAAAAAAATATTATGCTTCCTCTATTATTCCATAAGTAATTGTGTTGAAATATTTTTATTTCATATTATTATCTATCGTTTTAGATTTTCAGTATTGTATTATACATATTTTTCTAAGTATTTCAACCTTGTTAATTAAAATCTAAGTATTATAATTCTAAATATCAAATCATTAAAATTATTGAGGTTATTTTAGTTTTTTTTTACTGTATTTTTTTCTTTAAAATCAAGACACGTCTATTGAGATTCTTAGTACGTTTTACAAATAAAAATAAAAATAAAAAAATCTGATAAGTGTGAAACCAATATTTACACACAGAGTATTTGTATCTATATATTTGAAGATGTATCCAATTGTTCATCTTCTGATGATCTCATCCCCACCATAAATGGGGTCGGTTAGATGTTGGAGGGAACATCTCTCATATACGTATATACACACACACACCCGCATGTGTTCCTGCGTGTGTGTGTGAGAGAGAGTGTCTTTTATATATTTTTATTTATTTTTTATTTAATAACAAAAAAAGATTCTTCGAGGAAGCTGCCGATCAGCCATTAACACATGAAGAAATCATTCATGCATTGCACGGATCGTTTGATATATACCTCTCTCTATATTATATATTCAAAATATTGCTGTAAAACTCTCTCTCTCTCACACACACACACACGATTTCATGCATGATACATATAAAAACGAAACAATGTAATAATTGAATGAAATCAATATATAATATGTTATATATGACGTGGTACGATTCCACGTAAAGTTTTGCAATTTCTCCCTTGCACTTCTTGATTTCTCGCATGGGCTACTATTTGAGTCACAAAAAGTCGTTAGGGCGCCGGGGTTGGTCTCGGCGAAAATCTTCCGACGCTCAAGTTAGGTTTGTATGATAGAAGAATTCAAAGAATTCAAAAGACTGATCGGAAGTTATGAATTGCGTACCTTTAATTGTGAGGTTTTCAAGTATTTATATGGGTACATATATTCTCATGGGCCTAATCAACTTAATTAACATGGACCGACTTGAGCCTAATTGTTTAGATCATGCCAGTTTGGGTCTTAGTAAACTTGAGCTAGTATTATTATCTTTAGTCGATTTGGACTTGATTTGTGTGCAACTAATGGTTTGTCGATATGGACTTTTGGGCGTGAGCCCATCAATATATATTATTAATTAGTTATTCTACCGAAAAATTTACACGAGTTCGAGCATGATTTTGCTCATCTTTAAGAACGAAAATAAAAACTAATAGTATGAATTTATTATCAATAGTATTTATATATACAACTAAAAAAATTATACATTAAAAGCTAGCAATAGCTGGCTAGCAATCTCACGAGCAACTATAAATCAGCTAAACTAGAACTCGTCAGAAAAGCTGAGCTCGGACTCAATTATTTTTGTCAAATCGGCTCATTAGGCTCACGAGTTGACTTGACTCGACTCGTAATCATTCACACCCCTATTAGCTAGTTACTACTTACCTTATGCAACTAATATGAAATAATTGAATTCAAATCAATTAATGTGTATAGATAGCAAATAATTTTAAATTTGTATGCAGCATTTATCCAAAAATAACATTTGTCTGAGCATTATATATGAAGATAAATGGTGGAGCATGTTATGTCAAAAATTAATTTCCCCTGGAATATGACACATGAACATCAATATATTTATTTTTTTTTATTTTTTTAAATTTTCGATAGGTGACACATGAGCATCAATCAATTGTACTCATCAACATCACTCATTCTAAATTTAAAAAAAAAAAAAAAAAAAATAAAGATAAAAATAAAAATAAAAATAAAAACAAAAATAAAAATAAAAATAAAGCTTATTTTAGCCAATGGTGGTTACTATGAGACAGGTCACATCCACAAGAGAAGGAAACATCCCCAACCCTAGCTGTGCCCCTGCCACATCACTATCCCCTTGCAAATTTTATTTTAGATTTACTGAATTTTAATTTTAATAATTTTAAAATTTAGTGAATATTAATTTTGAGAATTAAAATAATTTGTTAATGCTATGCAAATTTATGATGTCAAAAAAGGGCACCGAAAAGATAAACACTTTATATATAGTTTTCATCTTTTTGGAATTATAGGTGGAGTCGAAATCACATAAGAAAACAATAAATGATTTTGTTTTTGGATTTTGGGAAAATAAGCAATATATATATATATATATATATATATATATATATATATATATATATTATAGAAAAATAAAATAAAATAAATAAAATAAAGAAAAAGACCCTTACTTCTAAGTTTATATATTTGGTGTCTTATTTCTTTCACAATAACCTAAGTATTGTGAGGCTATTTGGAGATGGTCCAAAACAACCTAGCAAATAAATAAATAAATATATATATATATATATAAATACATAAATACATAATTAATTAATTAATTAATTAATTAATTAATTAAAGTAATGAATGTAGTGAGGAAATGATCAGGTTGACATTGGACCAGGACCACAGTGGTCATGAAAAATAATTAATAAAATAATATAAAAATAGAAATTTAATGTAAATAGTGCATTCTGAATTTTTATATTTAATTCATCTCAAATTTTATATATTAGTAAGCAATACATATTAATGATATATAAACAAAAATAATATATTTGTTGCTAAAGTAAACTGTTAGATAAAGTACTATTTTGCAACAAATGAATGTCGAATATTAATATTTTGTTGGTGAAATGAAATATTAATTAGATGAAATACCATTTTGCAATATACGATAGACACTGATACACAATATATTTCTTTACAGACTCAAAATAAGGTTTAATTCCACTTTGCCCCCTTGAAATATAGCTTTTTGGCACTTTGTACTTTCAAATTATTTTTATAGCACTTTGCACCCTCGAAAGTCGAAACATAATGAATCATGCATAATGCATCCCAAATGAATTTTTAAAGCTAATGAAGGTAATTTAATATTTTCAGTGGTATTTTTTATGATGTCAAATGTCAATTCAATTTTTTTATTCATCAATCCTATCGAAACTACAAAATGCAAAAATAAAAATACATCTCATCAATATATTAAATTATTTTTTATCAGAAAAAAAATATTTTGCAAAAAAAAAAAAAACCAAAAAATATCCTTCATTTATTTAGGTATCACGTTATTTGAAAATTATATTTTCTTTCAAATATTTCTTCCAAAAATTTTAACTAATTACAATAAAATCCATCAATCAAATAATTTAGTGAGAATTGTTTTTGTAAGAAAATATTTGTTTTCCAGTAATTCGTTGCGATTTTTGGTTTTTCAAATCTTATACATTCGAAATTATGTTGTGGGTGAAGAAAATGATGATTTAATTTGTTATTTTGCACCCTAAAAAAAAAACCCCCCAATAAAAAATGAAATTACTCTCATTAAATTTTAAATATTCAATTCATGGTGCATTGTGAGGTATTTATTGTGTTTTGAGGGTGTAAAGTGCTATTAACTTTTTTAAGGGACCAAAGTGCCAAATTGCAATATTTCAAGGGTGCAAAGTGAGATTAAGCCCTCAAATTACTATAGATACTAAAATAAAAATCAATATTAAAAATTGCGGGCCATAGGCATTGGCTTACTGGATTATTATGTCATTTTAATCTTATATTAAAAATTAAACATGACAAATTAGCACATTCTTTAAGATAATATAATTAATATAATATAGTTAAAATAAAATTAATTTACCAGCATCGAAAAATGTAAAGGGACATTAATTAGTGGACAACTGATTTGTCTAGATCTAGTAATGCACGACTTTAATTCCTCTTAATTAGTAGTAATCTCACCCTAATTAAGAGGAGACACCTTACATCAACTAGCTAATACTATAATACGAGGTGATTAGCAATTTAATTCGTCTAAGTTAAGTTAATTAGTGTTGAGGTGGGCCCCACAAGCAGTATATGAGAATCTTGGGGCACAATTATAATTATTCCATATGTTGGCTGAAGATGGGACAATGAATCCCTCATGGTGGGGGCTTATTATTATTTTTTTTTTAACTTTTTTTTTTTTGAGGAAAATGTTTTATTATTATTAATAATTTTGGTTTTACATATTAAATAAATAGTCCACGAAAAAATTGGGGCTCACCACCTTCTTAATTCTAATACGCGGTTTTGTGGTACCATTTCAAATTAATTAACTTCACAATTAATTATATCACCAACCCAAGATTCAATTG